AGAGAAAGAATCACTGCCAGACTGCCAGTTCGCCGCCGGGGTCCCTGTGCAGTGGGAAGGAACACCGAGAGAACTAATGTTTTTGCTGCTCTGGTTGAATGTGAGAGTTTAGAATGTTGGGGAAATTAACGAAAACTTGGATGAATCAAGAGTTGTGTATATCACTTTCAGATTGAATATTTTGGTTGTGCACTCCAAAATTCAATCGGATAAAACTTGAAGGTATCAAGAACGAGTATGAATTGCTGTGAAATTTTCGAACCGGAAATCCGACCATGGCTTGCGCGAATTTATAAACTTACGGTGAGAAGGGGAAGACACCATCGCGTCTCTTTCTCAAGACACGCGATCCTTCGCGCGGAACCCTTCAAAATCGGTGTTATCCTTAGGAAATTTTCCTGTAAAAGAAAATTCGAAAAATAAAATTCCAATTGAATTTTTTAACATAGCACCTTGCCCAAAATAAAAAAATTTCGAGTTCAACAACATATTATTTGTCAAGTTTGGAATTTTGTGTGAACCGTGACGAGAGAAAAAGTCAATGGAGTTCAATAAATAAATATTTTGAATTTTGGTAAAAATATAATATTAAAGTAATAATATACTGTGATATTTTTCTAAATTAAACCTACGACTACACCAACTCAAATCTAGGGAAGAAACGTATTCTAATCGGACTTAACACTGCCGTTCTTCTTCGCCGCGCCACAAACCGGATCAGACCAGGAGAACCTCCACCTAATTACTTCGCCGGAAATTGACGGAAAGATTCGCTGGAATTCTACGCCGAGTCAAGGTTAGTGGTAGTTTCTTACGTTAAGATTAATTCGTAGATTAGTATTATTGACGTTGGATTTGCGATTTCGAGTATAGATTACGGTGATTTGAATTAGAAATTTTAATATGGGATTTCGTTCTTTTCTTTCTCTTGTCTTTCTTTGTTGCGTTTCCGTCTGCTCTCCTACCCTCGCTTGGTTCTACCCTTTTCTTTCTACACTGTTCTGTTTTCTGCTGTTCTGGACGAGAAAAAGGGACAGAGCTCCTTCATATTTGTTGCTACTGGTCTACCCTCGAGAAGGAATCACTGCCGGACTGCCTATTTGCCGTCGGGGTCTGTGCGCAGTGGTAAGGAACCATCGGAGAACTAATGTTTTGCTGGTCTAGTTGAATGTGAGAGTTTAGAATGTTGGGGAACTTAACAAAAACTTTGATGAATCGAGAGTTGTGTATATCACTTTCAGATTGAATATTTTGGTTGTTCACTCCAAAATTAAATCGGATATAACTCGAAGGTATCAAGAACGAGTATGAATTGCTGTGAAATTTTCGAACCAAAAATCTGACCATGGCTTGCGGGAATTTATAAACTTGCGTTGAGAAGGAGAAAACACTATCGCGTCTCTTTCCCAAGACACGCGATCCTTCGCGTTGAACCCTTCAAAATCGGTGTTATCCTTAGGAAATTTTCTTTTAAATAAAATTCGAAAATAAAATTTAAATTGAATTTTTTAACATAGCACCTTGCTCAAAATAAAAAAATTTCGAGTTCAACGACATATTATTTGTCAAGTTTGGAATTTCGTGTGAACCGTGACGAGAGAAAAAGTCAATGCAGTTCAATAAATAAATATTTTAAATTTTGGTAAAAATATAATATTAAAGTAATAATATACTGTAATATTTTTCTAAAACTAAACTACGGACTACACCAACCCAAATCTAGGGAAGAAACCAATTCTAATCGGACTTAACACTGTCGTTCTTCTTCGCGGCGCCACAAACCGGATCAGACTAGGAGAACCTCCACCTGAGTACTTCGCTGGAAATTGACGGAAAGATTTGCCGGAATTCTATGCCGAGTTAAGGTGAGTGGTGGTTTCTTACGTGAAGCTTAATTCGTAGATTAGTATTGTTGACGTTGGATTTGCGATTTCGAGTATAGATTACGTTTAATTGAATTTGAAATTGTAATATGGGATTTCGTTCTATTCTTTCTCTGTTCTTGCTCTGTTACGTTTCTGTCTGCTCTCCTCCCCTCGCTCGATTCTACCATTTTCTTTCTACACTGTTCTGTTTCTGTTGTTTTGGACGAGAAAAAGGGACAGAGCTCCTTCATATTTGTTGCTGCTGGTCTACCCTAGAGAAAGAATCACTGCCGGACTGCCTATTCGCCGCCGGGGTCCGTGCGCAGTGGGAAGGAACACCGAGAGAACTAATGTTTTTGCTGCTCTGGTTGAATGTGAGAGTTGAGAATGTTGGGGAAATTAACGAAAACTTGGATGAATCGAGAGTTGTGTATATCACTTTCAGAATGAATATTTTGGGTTGTTCACTCCAAAATTCAATCGGATAAAACTCGAAGGTATCAAGAACGAGTATGAATTGATGTGAAATTTTCGAACCAAAAATCCGACCATGGCTTGCGGGAATTTATAAACTTGCGGTGAGAAGGAGAAGACACCATCGTGTCTCTTTCCCTAGACACGCGATCCTTCGCGCATAACCTTTCAAAATCGGTGTTATCCTTAGGAAATTTTTTTCTAAAGAAAATTCGAAAAATAAAATTCCAATTGAATTTTTTAACATAGCACATTGCCCAGAATAAAATATTTTCGAGTTCAACGACATATTATTTGTCAAGTTTGGAATTTCGTGTGAACCGTGACGAGAGAAAAAGAAAATGCAGTTCAATAAATAAATATTTTGAATTTTGGTAAAAATATAATATTAAAGTAATAATATACTGTAATATTTTTCTAAAACTAAACCTACGGACTACACTAACCCAAATCTAGGGAAGAAACCAATTCTAATCGAACTTAACACTGTCTTTCTTCTTCGCCGCGCCACAAACCGGATCAGACCAGGAGAACCTCCACCTTAGTACTTCGCTGGTTCCATACGGAATGATTCGCCGGAATTCTACACCGAGTCAAGGAAAGTGGTGGTTTCTTACGTTATGATTAATTCATAGATTAGTATTGTTGACGTTGGATTTGCTATTTCGAGTATAGATTACGTTGAATTGAATTAGAAATTGTAATATGGGATTTCGTTTTGTTCTTTCTGTGTTCTTGCTTTGTTGCGTTTCTGTATGCTCTCCTACCCTCGTTCGGTTCTACCCTTTTCTTTCTACACTGTTGTGTTTCTACAATTCTGGACGTGAAAAAGGGACAGAGCTCCTTCATATTTGTTGCTGCTGGTCTACCCTCGAGAAGGAATCACTGCCGGACTGCCTATTCGCCATCGGGGTCCCTGCGCAGTGGGAATGGGAACCACCGGAGAACTAATGTTTTTGGTGATCTGGTTGAATGTGAGAGTTTAGAATGTTCGGGAAATTAACGAAAACTTGGATGAATCGAGAGTTGTGTATATCACTTTTAGATTGAATATTTTGGTTGTTCACTCCAAAATTCAATCGGATAAAGATCAAAGGTATCAAGAACGAGAATGAATTGCTGTGAAACTTTCGAACCGAAAATCCGACCATGGCTTGCGGGAATTTATAAACTTGCGGTGAGAAGGAGAAGACATCATCGCATCTCTTTCCTAAGACACGCGATCCTTCGCGCGGAACCCTTCAAAATCGGTGTTATCCTTAGAAAATTTTCTTTTAAAGAAAATTCGAAAAATAAAATTCCAATTGAATTTTGTAACATAGCACCTTGCCCAAAATAAAAAAATTTCAAGTTCAACGACATATTATTTGTTAAGTTTAGAATTTCGTGTGAACCGTGACGAGAGAAAAAGTCAATGCAGTTCAATAAATAAATATTTTGAATTTTGGTAAAAATATAATATAAAAGTAATAATATACTGTAATATTTTTATAAAACTAAACCTACGGACTACACCAACACAAATCTAGGGAAGAAACCAATTCTAATCGGACTTAACACTGTCGTTCTTCTTCGCCGCGCCACAAACCGGATCAGACCAGGAGAACCTCCACCTTAGTACTTCGAGAGTTGTGTATATCACTTTCAGATTGAATATTTTGGTTGTTCACTCCAAAATTCAATCGGATAAAACTCTAAGGTATCAAGAACGAGTATGAATTGGTGTGAAATTTTCAAACCGAAAATCCGACCATGGCTTACGGGAATTTATAATTTTGCGGTGAGAAGGAGAAGACACCATCGCGTCTCTTTCCCAAGACACGCGATCCTTCGCGCAGAACCCTTCAAAATCGGTGTTGTCCTCAGGACCCCGTCAGGGGCTCTGCCGCTTGGACCCTGCAGGGGCTGCCGCCCCTTGAACCCCGCTTGGGGGCGCTGCCCCCGAACCCCCGCCAAGGGGGCGCTGCCCCATTGAAACCCCCGGTGTAACGGGTTTTTTATTGTAACAAACTCAATGAAGCGTGCACTCCGCACCACCAAACTTCTTTGATAATTATTAGGATACGATTGGTCATAATTTTTCTAATTACACTAAAATATATAACATAGAAGAAGTAGAAATGAATAATCTTCATGCTTTTTTGTTGTTATTCTTGTTTTATACTCCCTCTGTCTCGGAAAACATAGGAGTTTTGATTTTGAAGAAGGATTTAAGGGGAGTGTATTCTGGTATTGAATTTCCAAAAATGTCCTTTGATGTGATGGGTAAAAGTATGATTTGATGAATAGATTATTAGTAAAAAGGTATGATGTGATAGGTAGGGTATGAAAAAGTAAGGGGTAAAAGTGACTTTTTAATAGAAATGAGAAGTGTTTTTTGGGACGGATGAAAAAAGAAAAGAGAAATGTTTCCCGGATGGAGGGAGTACTTCATTGTAACAAATCTTAGGGTCCGTTTGGTATACAGAATTGACGGAATTGGAATTGAATTAGAATTGAAATTCCATGGGATTCAATTCCGTAGAATTGAATTCTACCAATTCCAATTCATTTTTTGCACTATCAATTCCAAATCCACATAATTTTTGTGCTACCAAACACCAGAATTGGAGTTGAAGTCCTCAATTCCAATTCCATAGTTAGAATTCCATGTACCAAACGGGGCCTTATACTCCCTCCATCCACAATTTTGATTACAATTTTTTTTCTCCTCCTCTCTCAGCTAACTTGTGTTTATTTGTGTATCAATCTTTGAGCAGGCAAACCATGGCGGAACCAAAGCCTGTTATAGGGCTAACGTGGGAGCCGAAGCTGCCCGGACTTCCAGTCCCTGCCGACAAGCATAAGCTCCACCATTCCAAGCCCCCTGAAACTACTAGCTCCGCCCTTTACATGCCTCGTTCGGAGCTGGTCGATGGTCTCTTCGTGCCACCTATAGATCCCAAAAAGCTTAGGATTTTACGCCGCAAAGAGGTCAAAGACACTACTGGGAAGAACTGGTAACTAATCCTCCTCTCTTTCTTCCTCATATCACTGATGAGTATGGGGAATAGCCGAATAGGGTACCAAAGTTCTAATCTCAATTCACATACTTATTGATGCTTGATTCTTGTCCTTGATTGGTCTCGAATTTGCATTAGGTTTGACATGCCTGCTCCGACTATTACTCCGGAGCTAAAACATGATCTTGAGATATTGAAGGTGCCTTCTCTTTCTCTGTGATTTGCTCAATAAGTTGTAGCTCGATTTGATGGTTAGCTCAATGGCATATTCTTGCAAGTTTGAAGCTTATTATTTTCTGATATGGTAATTTAGTGGTGACTAATTTTCAGTCCTGAATTGCTTAGTATGTAAATGCTACTACAGTGTCAATATAGTAGATTGACTGGAATTTTAAATATTGACTGTGATTAGGTTTCTCTGTCAGGGTTATTTGTTGAATTCGGAAAACTTTATTGTTATGTACTAATGTACTCCTAGTAAAATGGTGTTTAGCTGTGCAAATCCACTCCCTAGCAGAAGTGCAAATGCATAATGGCAAAAAATGTAATTCGTCCCATTTTACTGGAGAGAGAACTGTAATACTCCGTAATAAAAAAATTGATGAATGTATTGAGCATTTTATCTATCATCTTATGTAGGACTACAAGATTTGATTCAAATTGAGTCAGGCATTTAGATCATTTTTTGTGGCATATTTAATCAATTTATTGTGCTTGAGAAGCTTGTTCAATTAATTTAATAGATAATCTTCTTCAACGAAGTGTTGCTGCTGAAGTCATAGATTAGAACCTCAATAGAATTGTAAGAAAGTTAGAGGGGAAGACTTCTCTGGATGCACAAAATTGGAAATAGTAGTGAATGTGTGGTTTTTGTGGTTTTTCAATTGAGATCAAGGAGCTTAGCCGAGAGCTGTAGCCAAGCTCTAGGGCCTAGCTAGGGATAACAAGAGATTGATCTAACGTCTACACTAATTTTGACTCTCTTCATTTTTCTATCTGACGACTCATTAGTTCTTGCTTTTTCTGTTCCCTTCCTCTTTCTGGTTTTGCTTTTCTTGATGTTTATGTGCAAGTGCAACGTATAGTCTTCTTTTTAGAATGAATGAATGATAAAGTTGGCTAATTGCTTCATAGTTTTTGTTTGTTTTTGTTTTAATCTATTTGGTTTTTATTGGTCTCTAATCCGTATAGCTTCAATAATAAAACTGATATCTGTATCAGTAATAAGCGTATACCTTTAACTATGTTAAAGATTGGCCAAATGAGATTACACGGAAATAACTTCCCTTTAACCCACACCCCTCATTCCTTGTAAATGTCAATGTGATACAAATGTCCTCATTCCTTGTAAATGTCAATGTGATACAAATGTCCTCATATATGCCTACAGTAATGGACTGATAGATATAAGTTAACTCATATAAGTAGGGATAAATATATGGAATCAAGTGCGAAATATTTGTAATCAACTGCTTAACTTATAGATATGCCAGCCATAGTCACCTTACTCACCTAAATCGCGGCACGTTTTGGTACGAGTACGCGGTGCGGGTACGAAATTTGCTAGAGGTGACGAATTCGGTATGGAGGGGGATAGGTTCATTTTGGTATGAAGCCGTTCGGTGCACCATGTATTCGGTTCGGTGTACCAAAAGTCAAAACATAAGTAAACAAAAATAGATAAGATGAGCATAAGTGCATAACATTACTAAATCCAATAGATGAATAGAACATCAACTAAAATATTCTAATCTACTCGTTGCCTTTTTCCTCTCCCATTGTCAAAGCCTTCATTATCAAAGTCTTCCCAAACCATTTCTTCAGGGTGAGCACTTGAACCTTCTATATATGCATTTTCAGGATTCACGTCCCACTTTTTGTGAGGGCCTGATTTGTAGGAATCAGAAAAGCATGATTGAAATAGAATATTCGAGTGAATAAACACAAGTTTATCGGCTCGCTTGCAATTTAAGCGATTCCTCTTGACATTATGGATATAGGAGTATGTTCTCCAATTTCTCTCCGCCAAAGAGCTACTAATTGGCTAGGCAGCGAATTCTATGACTATGATGCCAGCATCCATCGATTTATGCCTACAGTACGTGGATATAACTAGAGATATGGGAATTCAGACGACAGTATACTTAACTGATGCAAACTCTATCCCAAACAAGAGTTTAGTTTGATCAATGTACAATTTTAAACCTTTTAAATTTTGGTAAGGTACAACTGGTAGAACATCACATAAATCATATTTAGATTTTTAAATTTCATTGGTTGGCTTCCTAAATTTATCCCATGTAGCAAATTACATGAATAATCAGCTTTGGTTGATCCAACTGGACTCTTTTTCTGGATAAGAAGTGTCTGAAACATGACTCATTTTTTGGAACCAAGGGAGTAGTTGTGTTGCTACATCTGTAGTGCGACCATGTTATCGTATTTCTAGTCATTACAAAATGTTCAATTCTTTGTCCGGAATATGAACAATGAATAATGTCTGCCAATTAGGGATGCATAACCTTTTGCAGACGTTTGATAACTATTTGAATTAGGAAGGCTTTCACAATACTATTTATTTTGATTGATTTTGAAATTTGTTGGATGATATGGTTGAAAGACTTGAGTGTTTTTGCAGATGAGAGATGCTTTAGATCCAAAGAAGCACTATAAAAAAGGCGCTTCAAAATCTAAAGCACTTCCCAAGTATTTCCAGGCAAGTAGATTGTGGACTTACGTATTCTACACTATCACATTACAGTACAACCTTATTCTAGCATTTAAAAATGAGTTATGTCTGTTGGATCAGGTGGGTATTGTGATAGAGCCCGCATCAGAATTCTATTCCAGTAGACTTACCAAGAAGGAGAGGAAGGCAACCCTTGCAGATGAACTGGTTTCTGATGCCCACCTTGCGGAATATAGGTAAGCTTGAGGAAAAAAATGGTTAATTGGTTTCTATAGTAATTGAGGAGAAAGAGCTCTAAAACTTAATCTGAATGGAGTGAAATCTGCCCCCATACTAATATTCCTATTTGAACACGTTTACTAATAAAAGTGAGCTTGTATCGCTGAAATTTATTTTTTTTTAAAAGAAAGAGTAATATCAACCACACTTTTCTTAGAAGGAAATAGGAAGATTATTTAGAGAAGGAACAAAAGGAAAACAAAAAGATTAATTTGGGACGGAAGAAGTACTTAACAAATTGAAGAAAACACGTAAAGGTGAGAACACACAAGCACTGAGATTCTCAGTTGCAATTTCTTCATTGTGTTCTTTTCGTACTGCACCATGAAACAAAAACAAACAAAAAAACTAAAGGCTAACATGCTTTGAATTTTTTTTTCACAGGAAGCGCAAGGTTAGGGAGATTGAAGCACAAAGGCGGCCACATGTTGTGGCTAAGTGGAAGCACAAAGGCAATCAGTCGGGGAGGCGTACAAAGCCAAAGCGGCATTGATCAGACCAAACCTTTGCTGCTCTGATGAGCTTAAACTTCATGGCTTTGATTTGACCTGGACAAGTTATATAGAACTTGTTTTGCCTATGGCTTCTGTTATGATGTGCCCTAACTTCACATCAAACAGGTGAATTTTTTGTCTCTAAAAAAATACTTAGGAGTTTGTTTTAGTTGTACTGTTGTTTTAACTCCATATATTAGACACTTGATATGTTTTCCTCTGTAATAAAGTACTCCTGTCCCAAAAAAGAGTGAATGCTTTATTTTTTAGATGTTCCTGCCAATTTGTTGTGCCTGTTTCGTCTTATAAAAGCATTACCCCTCTATACATAATGAATAAATCTATTTGTATCCCATAGATTGTATTGCAAAATTCACCACAAAAGTTAGTCTACTCACTTCTTTTTTGTTTTGTAATTATGATATAATTTCAAAATACATAAATTTATTTTTTATTGGAATGCATCTCGCGCTATAGGAATAGAGGGGGCTTGTAGTTTAAAAGATTCTTCATATATATGGAGTATTTTACTCTGTAATATTTTGATTACACAATTTTTATATTATTAAAAGTTGTGTTACTGGACATTTTTTTATGGATGAGAGTATTGTTAGTATTATTGTAATTTGTAATCACATTTTAATGTAGTAATCATTAGTTAAACAAGTTTCTTTTTTTGCGTAAAGTATGTTGAGTGTGATTTCATATATTTGGTTGTGTTAAGCAATATGGAGTGTTTTTCATGTACTTAGGGGGTGTATTGAACCGGGAGTCTGTAGGATTTTTTTGGATTTTTAAAATCTGAGTGTATTCAATCTGGATTTTTAAAAGTCTTTTAAAATCTTGAGGTATTCAATAGTGATTTTCCAAAGTCTTTTAAAATATTGAAGTATTCAATTTGAACTTTTAAAAGTCTTTAAAAATTTTGAAGTATTCAAGAGTCAATGAATTTTAATAGTCTATGGATTTTGTTGGATTTTCAATCAAAACATGCTTACATTTTCACTCATGGAAATCTCTTCTCACCACCCAAGATTTCTATGGATTTTCGTCCCTTTCGTCCATCCATCTTCTCACAGGTCTTTCTTTTTCTTTTCTTCTCCATTCTCTGCTGCTCCGTGTGAGGATTGTTCTTCTGCTCCTCCTGCTCTGTGTCTCTGGATCATAGTCGTCGTCATCGTCAAAGCCTCTTCTTCTTCCTCCACCTCCATTTTTGATCTTTCGTTTCTTCCTCCTCGGCAAAAACACTGCCAAAAATGTGATGGTTAGAGTTCCGGCCATGACCGCTGATGATATCAGTTCTAAATTCCCGTTCTCTCCGGCAACAGAAACATGGGAGACATTCTGGCAGGTTCTGATTCCGGGGACGGGACCAGCGAGACCGTTCTCATCGAAATTGAAGAAATTCAAGTTGGGGAGATGGAAAATGGGGTTGGGGATCCTACCGGAGAGTCTGTTTCTAGACAAATCCAAATACTCAAGCTGGGTGAGATTCAAAATCTCACCGGGAATCCCTCCGGTGAAACCATTCTCATGAAGATCCAAACACGTGAGGTACGACATGTTGCCAAGAGATGGCGGCAGGCCGCCGGAAAAGCCAACCATATTCACGGTGTTTGTGAGCGATTGGAGAAGATGACCTTCAAGAAGGTTGGAGCTCAAGTCCAAGTGAGCGAGAGAATGGAGATTCCCAAAACTGGATGGGATTTGGCCGGAAAGCTTATTCCCTGTTCGATGAAACAACAGTAATGTTTGGATTCTACTTATATTTTAAACTCTACATAGATTCTGCGAATTTTTCAAACTCTACATGAATTCTTCAAAAAAATCCACTAAACTCTACATAGATTCCATAGATTTTTCAAATCCACTGACTTTTTGAAATCTAAAAAAATCTAATAAAATCTTAATTGAATACACCCCTCTATCATACAGAGTATACCTGAGTACTCGTAAGAAAAAAGTAAAAATGAATATAAACCAAGCAAACATAACTAATTATGATATGTGACAAAAATAGCGGATAGACAAATGATAAAAAGAAAGAAAAATAATAAGATAGAGGGAGTTTATAATTTGCATAATTTCTCTTCCTTCTATATAAAACTCAATCACATACATTTATTAACGATAATGTCAAGTCAATTGTAAAATTAAAGTTTGTATAAAATAAACTCTTCATGTCCTTTAAAAAAAACTCTTCATGTGTTTCAAAAAAAAAACTCTTCATGAGTCATGCTACAATCACATCACATGTGACACCAAAGTTGATACCACTTTTTTTATAAACAATGATTTCTTACCTTGTTTGTAAAGTTCACATCACATTCTCTCTTTCAACAATTTTGACCACTTCAAAGTTCAAACCTTACATTATTTTTTGTTCAAAGAATTTAAAAGAGAAAATAAAAGAAAATGCTTAGGAAAACATATTTCTTGCTTGGTTAGTGAAGAAAAAAAGTGAAAGGAAAAGACAATTAGAAGAGAAAGTAAAATAAAAGGAGAGAAAACCAAATGTCTTCCATTTTGGTGAGGAAAAGGTGAAAAAACTTCTTCTTTTTCTTTCTATTTCTAATTCCTTGAACCAAACATAACATTAAGAAATGAGCTCTTTGTCACGAAAATATTATTGAAAGACGCAAAGGAGAATACAAGCAACGATAATTGGTAGAATAACAAGAAGAAATTCACAATTACAGAAAATTGTATTTCATTTTTGGCAAAAGTGTTGCAAAATCATTGAATAGTAATATTTACAAAAGCTTAAACTAATGAGCTTTGAGTGAATATAATCCCAAATGTGAGCACTTTTCAAGGCAATGGCTCTTGCGAATCTCCAAGCCTTGACTGGTGAAGGAAAGCATCCATGCTTTATTTAAAAAGCCATGGATTCTCAATTTCGTTTTCCCGCCCATTTGGTGTTCCACCAAAAATGGTAATTATTCACTCTATATGGTAATTACTCAATTAAAATGGAGTTATACGGGTCATTAAAAGAGTTACCGTAATTAAGTAATTACTCATTTAAAATGGTAAGTAATTTAAAGTAATAATAAAATGTTCAAATTCGTAGGTGTTCTAATTGTAAAAAGGTAAGTAATAATAAAATATTTAAAGTAATAATAAAATATTCAAACGAGTGTTCTAATTTTAAAAAAATAAGTAATAATAAAATATTCAAACATAATTACACTTACCGTTAATAAATCAATCCTTTTTTAACCAGTTTATAAGAATGGTAATAATTGTATTTAATTATATTTACTAATATATATGTAATAATATCTAATAACTTATTTCATTTAAAAATGGTAATTAAAAAAGGTAATAAAAAATACGTATAGAGTAATAAAAATATGTATAGAGTAATAAAAATAGGAAAATACGTATAGAATAAGGTACATTTTTAACACGTACACTAAAAGGGTAATAAAAAATTTGAAATTAAAATATAAACGAAAAAATCCATACCGTTAATAAATCAATCCTTTTTAACCAGTTTATACGAATGGTAATAATTGTATTTAATTATATTTACTAATATATATGTAATACTCCCTCCGTCCCGCTATATTGATCCACTTTTGACTTTTGGAACTGTTCATCTAAGCACTTTGACTCATCAAATTCTCTCAATGTGTAAGCCTAAATATAGTCATGTGTGATCTTGCTTGATTTGTCTTAACATATAGATTATTAATATATAATTTCTATAATTTTTTAATGTACAAATTACAAGATACAATGGATTAAAGAAGTGTATTGGATGGTGTGTAAAAATGAAAATGGACAAATACTCTGGGACGGAGGCAGTAATATCTAATAACTTATTTCATTTAAAAATGGTAATTAAAAACGATAATAAAAATACGTATAGAGTAATAAAAATAGGTATAGAGTAATGAAAATAGGAAAATACGTATAGAGTAATGTACATTTTTAACACGTATACAAAAATGGTAATAAAAAATTATTAATGGTAGAGATGTTGAACATTAATGCAGCGAAACAAATTTGGGTAGATTCTTCATACCATAACTTGCATAAACAAAATTAGAAATTAAAATACGTATAGAGTAATTAGAAATTAAAATACGTATAGAGTAATAAAAATAGGAAAATATGTATAGAGTAATGTATATTTTTAACACGTATACTACAATGGTAATAAAAAAATTATTAATGGTAGAGATGTTGAACATTAATGCAGCAAAACAAATTTGGGCAGATTCTTCATACCATAGCTTACATAAACGAAATTAGAAATTAAAATACGTATAGAGTAATTAGAAATTAAAATCTATATACTTTATTTAAAAAGAGGTTAATGTTTTCCCACTCATACATGAGACTCATATATGGAAAGTGTTGACAACATAAATGATAGTTTAATTATTTGGCCTTATTGTTTTCCTTCTATTTTAAGTATGTTTTCATTTTTATTTAAATGTTACACCGTTTGAATATTTAAATTAAATTAATTTAAATAGTAGTGAACCATTGGGGAATTAAAGTATGGAAATAAAATATACTACCATTTAAATATTAAAATAAAATTAAAAACTTTTAATTAATAAAGTATGAGCGGGATTAAAATGATTTATTTCAAAAAACTACAAATTAATTATTTATTACAATTTACAAGCACGGACGTGTAAAAATGTTAAGTTTTCTAAAATAGATTAGAAAATATATATGGTACGGTAAATAAATGATAACATTTAAATACAAGAACGAAATAAAAAACTACAAATTAATATTAATACTATAATTTACAAGCATGGAAACATTTTAAAATGACAAGTGTTCTAATTAGAAAATTAGAAAATAAATAGGTATGGTACGGTAAGCAATTGGCACCATTTAAAAACAAAAATAAAATAAATGGTAAGTGTTATAAAATAAATTAGGTAAGTGTTCTAAAATAAAAGAGAAAATAAAATACATCTAAAAATGATAAGTGTTCTAAAATAAATTAGAAAATAATGTGGTTTGGTAAGTAATTAGTACGATTTAAATACCAAAATAAATAAAAAACTACAAAATTAATATTAATACTATAATTTATAAACATGAAAATGTTTTGAAAAAGGTAAGTTTTCTAATTAGAAAATTAGAAAATAAATAGAGTACAGTATGTCACCACGATAAGCAAATGGTACCATTTAAACACAAAAATAAAATAAATGGTAAGTTTTCTAAAATGAATTAGGTAAGTGTTCTAAATAAATTAGAAAATAAAATAAATATCAAAACGGTAAGTGTTCTAAAATATAATAGAGAATAAATACGGTACAGTAAGTAAATGATACCATTTAAATACAAAAATAAAATAGAAAACTGTAAATTTTTACTATCAGTTAATACTACAATTTACAAGCATGGAAACATGTTAAAATGGTAAGTGTTATAAAATAAATTTAAAGATAAATATGGTACATTAAGTAAATGGTACCATTTAAATGCAAAATTAAAACAATTATAAATTAATAGTACTAATACTATAAGCATGGAAACATGTAACAATGGTAAGTATTCTAAAATTAATACTATTAATTCTATAATTTACAAGCATGGATAAGTGTAAAAATGGTAAGTGATCTAAAATAAAATAGAAAATAAATACCATAGGGTAAGTAAATGGTATCATTTAAATACGAAAATAGAACTAAAAAATACAAATTCCAAAATAGATACATTAATATGTTGAATTATTATTTAAATAAGTCAAATTATTGAATTATTGTCAGGGACAATATCTGAAACATGTTGAATTATTGTTATTACGGAAACCGGTATTTAGTCATGAGCAAGTATTTGTTGCAGTTTCAAGAATAATAAATCACAATGACTTGAAGATTCTGATATACAACGAAGTGAATGCTCACACGAATTATACGAGTGATATAGTTTATAAATAAGTCTTTTGAAATTTGTAAATCATTTTACTTTTGTACTTTAAAATAATGAAATTTCTAGATTCCATTATATACCAATTTATATTTCTAAAAATGATCTTAATTTAGTACCGTAACTATGACCCGTGCAACGCACGGGTGTGATACTAGTTTGTCCCGTAAAGTAGGGCTGAGTTCGATTTTGACAGTTCGATTTTCATCCAAACCAAAGACAAAATAGAAGGTAAATTGGTGATTCGGTTTGGTTTTGCATAAAAAACATGTAAACCGTTGATTATTCTATTCAGTTTTATACAGTTTTTATTCTGGTTTTTTTGGTGTTTTCGATTTATAAAAGTAAAATTTTATAAACATTAAAAAAATATAAAAATACTAACTCGATGAAGGAATAACAATATGTAGGGTTGGATTTGGTTTTTTGGTTTGATTTTTATACAAAACCAAAAATCGAACGAAAGGTCGGTGTTCCGTTTGGTTCAATTTTACATAAAAAAAATGTGTCAAGTGCCCAATAAACTTCTAGGAGATTCCAAATACTTCCAAAGACATCATATGTAAATACTCTCTCCATCCTAAGTACTCTTGTAAAATTGAACCAAACGGATACTGAGGCGGCAAACCGGGTGATTCATTTGTAGATTCCAAATACTCCAAAAGATGCCATTAATGAACCTCGAACCAGCTGATTCTTGGCGGGTGATGAAGCTCTCAAGAAAAGAACTCGGAGCTACCAAATTTCAAATGCCCAGAATTCTTCTGGTTATTATCTTTATGAGTACCAACAAATCTGGAGTTTCGAGAAGAAGAAGAGTCCATGAACAGGACACGAGCTCCCTCCTGCTGTTCTGGAATAACCCATGATTGGTTAGGCTGGAACTCAGGGGAAATATAGAGTTGGAATCACCCAAAGATTGGGAATCTTCAAACATTTATTTATTTATTTATTTATTTATTTATTTCTCTCTACTTTAATCAAGAAGAATTGTTTTCCCAAAATAGGGCTTTAGCTCTATGCTATTTTTGGGAGGGAAGCTTTGACATGGGATTCACATGCACTAATTATAGTGAAAGTCATTGATGGTCTGGGCCGCTCCCGGTTCTAGCCTCCTCTTTTCACTTCTCCTCTTCCAGACCTTATCTGGTGGTCAGAATGTTGAATTTGTTCCTGCCTGTCCTGCTGCATGACTGCATGTGTTCAAGTAGGCCTTCTTGGTTGTAGGCTGATCACCAAGGGTCCTCTCAATGCCTTCTGACGTCTTGAACTTTAGACATAATTAATGTTTGGGGGATAGGGTTTCTCCTAGGTCCTCTAATCCAGGCCTCCCCAGAATGACATTATGGGCGCACTTGATGTCCTCTAATCCAGCCAGGCAGTATACTGCCATGGTAGGGAGGGGGGTGGGAGGGGGGGCTGGGGTGGGGGGGCAAGGGTGGGGCTGGGGTGGGGGGTTTAGGGGGGGTAGGAACCGTCATTTTCACAAACGGGGTACCGTAGGTATCCCAAACAAGCTGGTGTAAGCAACTGATGTATAAGTAACTAGTGTCATTTTAGACGCTATTATATATATATATATATATATATATATATATATATATATATATATATATAATGCATATATTTTAGAATAAGAGTTTCATGTTTGTATTTCAAAAGATGACTTAAAATGCATAAAAATACCAATCATGTCAGTATATTATACCAAAACGTATTGTGCAATGACCATATATAGTGTCAAATTATCACATTGCAAACTCTTATATATTTTAGGTATGAAAATATTGAACTTCTATTTTGGTACATTCTCTATGTTTTAAATCATGTGATTTTTTTTTCTTTTCAAGTAATTCAAAAATGGTGATATTGCATTATTACATTATCACATTGCAAACTCTTATATATTTTAGGGATAAAAATATTGAGCTCGTATTTTGGTACATTTTCTATGTTTTAATTCATGTGATTTTTTTCTTTTCAAGTAATTCAAAAATGGTTATATTCCATTATTGCATAATCGAAACGTAATTTTTTTTGACAACTTGAAATAAAACTAAAGGGTAATACAAACCACACAATATATATATTACAGAGTACTTAAAAGGAATATCACTCTATTCTTAAAAGCAGGGGAATTTTTTTCCCGCCCAATGCACTATAATCCTGCACCGTTGATATCAATGTATGAAAAAGATCTACGGTTATGATTGGTTGTGTATTATTACCAATTTAGAAGGATATATTAAAGGAAACTTCTCACTAATTCATTTATACCAATTGAATGCATTGTAATCTGACCAAAAAGGAAGGAATTCAATGTTTTTACAACCGTGTGGTTTTTTCTAGAAACATAAAGGGTGTTATTGATAATTTTTTATTTTTTTACAACCGTGTAAAAAAAGGTAATTTATTCCTATGAAAATTAGCATTTTAAAAAAGGAAAGCTTTAAAGGAGGATATAACGTATATATTTACAACCGTGTGTTTTTTTTGTAAACAGATTAACAAGGAAAAAAATTGAGAAATAAAAATTTACTTTATATTTTGATATCATTATTATTTTTTTAAATATGTGATAAAAAAGGAAATTTATTCATACAAGAAAAGAGGTTATTTTAAAAATGGCAAACATAAAGAGATGGAACGTGATTATTTTAAAAAATATTTTATTCCTATGCAAATTACCATTTTAAAAGAACGAAAGATTTAAAGAAGGATATAATGTAAAGATTAAAACCTACGATTATTTTAGTACGTTAAAAAAGGTAAATTATTCCTACCCAAATTAGTATTTTAAAGAATGATATAACGTAAAGATTTAAAACCGTTTGTTTTTTTTGTAAACAGATTAAAAGGGCAAAAAATTGTGAAAAAAATATAGAATTTTTATATTATTATTATGTTAATATGTGATAAAAAGGAAATTTATTCATATGAAAAAGGAGGTTATTTTTTTAGTACGTGATAACAAGAAAAACAATATTTATTCATAC